TTTGTTGATTTTAGTGATAGAGGAAGGGAGAGGTATAGAGAAATAAAAACATTGATGAGCCGAAACCGGTTTGGCTCAGTGGATAGAGCGTCAGCCTGCAGACTGAAAGGTCCCAGGTTCGATTCCGGTCAAGGGCATGTACCTGGGTTGTGGGCACATCCCCAGTGGGAGATGTGCAGGAGGCAGCTGATCGATGTCTCTCTCTCATCGATGTTTCTAACTCTCTATCTCTCTCCCTTCCTCTCTGTAAAAAATCAATAAAATATATTATAAAAAAAAAAAACATTGATGAGAGAGAATCATCAATCAGCTGTCTCCTGCATGACCCTTACAACCCATACTGGGGATCAAGCCTGAAACCCGGAAATTGCCCTGACCGGAAATTGAACTGGTGACCTCCTGGTTCATGGTCGATGCTCAATCTCTGAGCCACACCAGCCAGGCCCTAACCTCTCTGACACTCTCTTTCTTCATCAGTAAAATGTAGATAGTCATGCTTGTCTGCCTACTTCGCAACGTTGGTGTCAGTATACAAGTCAGATCATGTCAATGAGAGGATATTATGGACTAGACACATAGAAATGTTAGGGTGAATAATTTTGAAAGGTTTACAAATGCACATAGAATATGTATATTCAGTCTTGGGTGTCTCTAAAATGAAGACATTTTACATTGTCATCCCTGTGAAGTTTGAGGCTTGAGGGCAGAGTGTGTGGAAGAGAAGAAAAAAAATCTCCAGAAATTATTTCCTAGGGGAAACCTTCCCTGACCCTAGGACTTGGTCTGTTATCTCTATTATATAGAAATTGTTCTCATAACATGGTATTCTTTTCTTCAATGAGAGTTTGTAATTACTTCATTATTTTTATGATTAGTTGGTTAATGCCCTTTTCCCCACTAATCCTTGAGCTCCATAATGCAGGCAATATGTCTATTTTGTTCAACATTCTCCTAACACTGGGCATACAATAGGTACTCAGGTAATATTTATTTCATGAATGATTGAAATAAATTAAATCCTCAGCCTATAAATCTGAGTGATGCTCTTTGTTTCTCTGAGATAAACATGCCAAGTTTGTTGGGTCTTTTTACCTCTTGGTCTCAGCTTTATCATCTGTAAAATGGGAATAACATCTACCTCAGAAGCATATTTATGAGGATCAAAGGAGATCATATGTGTTAAAGGACATTATCTGCCCGCCCAGCGTGGTTCAGTGGTTGAGTATTGACCTATGAACCAGGAAGTCATGGTTTGATTCCTAGTCAGAGCACATGCCTAGGTTGCAGGCTGGATCCCTGATGTGGGGCGTGCAGGAGGCAGCCAACTAATGATTCTCTCTCATCATTGATGTTTCATTTCTCTCTCCCTCTCCCTTCTCCCTTCCTCTCTGAAATAAATAAAAATACATTTTTAAAAAAGAACATTATTGCCCTAGCTGGTTTGGCTCAGTGGATAGAGCATCAGCCTGCGGATTGAAGGGTCCTGGGTTTGATTCTGGCCGAGGGCACATGCCGGGGTTGCAGGCTCAATCTCCAGTAGGGGCCATGCAGAAGACAGCCAATCAATGATTCTCTCATCATTGATGTTTCTATCGCTCTCTCTTTCTCTCCCTTCCTCTCTGAAATCAATAAAAAAAATTTAAAAAGAACATTATCAACATAAAATGTTAAGCAAATAATAGTAATTATTACCAAAAAAAGGTGAATTTGTACAAATTTCAACTTCATTTTAATAAAACTCACTAATTAACTAAAAAAGAGAACCATCCCCTAGCCCAGTGATGACGAACCTTTTGAGCTCGGCATTTTGAAAAAGCCTAACTTAACTCTGGTGCCGTGTCACATATAGAAATTTATTTATTTATTTATTTATTTTAAATATATTTCATTGACTTTCCACAGAGAGGAAGGGAGAGGGACAGAGAGTCAGAAACATCGATGAGAGAGAAACATCAATCAGCTGCCCCCTGCACACTCCCCACTGGGGATGTGCCCGCAACCAAGGTACATGCCCTTGACCGGAATCGAACCTGGGACCCTTGAGTCCGCAGACCGACACTCTCTCCTCT